AAAATTAGAACTCCAAATGAGAAAAGGATCAACTTAAAGAGAGATTTGCATTATCATCAATTCCTTTTTTTTTATCCGAAAATTTATCAAAGAAACCAAAATGGCTTACAGTCCTATCTCATGCTTCACCCAATTACAGTAAATCTTGGAACTTCCCCTTTTCTTTTTTTTTTAAATAATTATAACAATTATAATAACAAATAGAAATAAGGTAAACATGAAATAAACATAAATAAATAAAAGATAATAGAAAACCAAGATAAATAGCTTAAAATAAAAGATAATAATGAAAGAAAGATAAACATATAAGATAAATAAATACTAACAATGAATAAAATAAAACAATAATAAATAAATCAAGATAAATAACTAATTAAAAAATAATAAAAAGGAAAGCTGGACATTTGGGATTAAATTCCAAACCAAATTAATGTAAATTCAATATTACTATGTCCTCATACCCAATAAATCAAAAATTTAATTTCCAACTCACTTGACTCGTGATATTGAAATTTAGAACATCGGACTAAATAAAGTATCACACCCCTATAAACACATTGTTATGTGTGATATTTTTGCTACAGTTGAAGTTTTAGTGTTGGGTTAATGCAACCTTTTGTTTCTGATTATCCTAATAAAATCTGGCTATTTTTATATTTTTTATTTGAATTGATGCAGTGTGTGGTGCTACAACACTCAGTTGAATAGAGAAAGCGCATTGAGAAAGACCCGTCATTTGAATCTTATCATCAGCAGGCTATCTTGATCAACGACGTGGAAACTAACTGTAAATTTTATATAAAACTTGCAATTTAACCTCACCTTAAACTTATTAAAAAAAAAAAAAAAACTGCCTTCGAAAGACGAATCTAGCAAGTCAAAGTGCCGGAACCATCCTTACAAATATACATACGAAAAAAAAAAAAGAAAAAAAAAGCCATTTGGCATTCATATTCGTGTCCTTTCGATGCCGAATACCCATTTATTATGTAAACTCGTACGGAGGGGAAGGCTGGGGACAGCAATTGTCCACGCAGTGCCAATCTATTGCCATCCACCCTCTTCTCCTATAATATGCCCTCTGATGCAATAGCCACCAACAACCTCTTATCTTCCTCTTCAACATCCAAAAAAGTAAAACCAATTACACTCTCTCTTATTACCAACACACACTTTACACTTGTATCAACCCAAAAATGGCTTCGTCTCTCACCCTTCTTAACCACAATCTTACTTCTCCACTCCCTTGTCACACTCCCAGGACTCAGTCTTCTGTTTCTCAATGCGTCCCAATTCTATCCAAATCATCAAAGTCTCAGTTTTATGGCCTTAACTTCTCATACTCTTCTTCTCCTTCAATCCCTTCTTTTTCCTCTTTTAGGACTTCCATTTCCGCCCAGGTACATTGCTTTTTATTGGTGTGTTTATTGGCTTACTGCTTTAAGTGATTGCTTATGATTTTGGGGTTTTGCAGGTCAACAAAGGTTCAGTGCCTCCACCGTTCACGTTAAAAGATCAGGATGGGAAAAATGTGAACCTTTCCAAGTTTAAAGGAAAGCCTGTGGTTGTCTATTTCTACCCTGCCGATGAGACCCCTGGCTGCACCAAGGAGGTGACTGCTTTAAAGTCTTTGTTACATGTCTCTTTCATTCCTTTTCTTCTGTTGTGGAAGCCAATGTAGACAATAGATGTAGAAAATGTTTAGCCTTCATTTCAGCAATCACTAGTCACTTAAATTTTTTGAATTTTTTTTTTTAGCTTTTGGGTTGAGTGGCATTCATGTCATTTAATGGCGGTGGATTTTCAGTTTTGTTCGGTTAGTGATGCAAGCATTAATGAAATTAGTACTTTTGTAGGCGTGTGCTTTCCGAGATTCTTATGAGAAGTTTAAGAAAGCAGGAGCTGAAGTTATTGGAATAAGTGGTGATAGTCCATCATCACACAAGGTAATACATGCACCTTTTGCTGCAGAATATATTTTAACTTGAAGATTTAATTTTGACTGCCTTCTACTTTTATCTCTCTCCACAGGTTGTGTAAAACCCATGTTTATAATTTCCTTTGAGATTTTCTTTAGAAAACAACATCCACTGTCTCTGGAATCTAAAACTTACTTATTGTGTGTGATAATTAGGAATTCTATTGTCTTTATAAATTTCTCTCGGTGCTTATTCTTGATTGTCTGTGATAATAGTTCCATCCAGGATGCTTAATTCTTGTTTTCTTGTCTCCAACAGCTATATGGAAATTAACTGGCAATCAGCTTGATTTACTGAAAAAAACTAGTAGATTCTACTTAGATATCATTCTCATTTTCATATGGTATTTTTATCTCCTATTGAAAATGGACTCTTGAATTTTTTTTAGATTTCTGCATTTACAATTATTGCAAGATAGAAATGTAACGCTGTCCAGAAGCGGCCCTGTCTTTCATCACATTCTGGGATGTTTATAGGTTTTACCTGTCAAATGTCATCCAAATTGCTTGAAACTGACAACAATTTTTTAATTAACCAGGCATTTGCCAATAAATACAGACTTCCATTTACATTGTTGAGTGATGAGGGAAACAAGGTGGGCAAAGAGTGGGGAGTTCGAGCAGATCTGTTTGGAATGTTGCCTGGGAGACAGACCTATGTTCTTGACAAGAAAGGGGTGGTGCAACTCATCTACAACAACCAGTTTCAGCCTGAGAAGCATATAGATGAAACCTTAAAAGTACTTAAAAGTATGTAAACCTCTCTAGAAATTATTTTGTTCTTTCCTCCATCAGACACTCGCATATGTGTTCTTGGTGTTAGACAAGTGTTTGCTTTTGTATGAATCAAGCCTCCCATTGTAATTGCTATCGCTGTTGGACTTGGACCTTCATCACAAGTAAACCAGCTGATAATTTCTGGTCTAGGAAATTGAGCTACCCCTGTTCCCTTGGATTTACAAGGTATGAGAATTCTATGTTCAATTATCAACATAGTTTGATGTTGTTAAGTCTTATAGTGAATCTAGCATGGATGCCTCATCTCTGCCATAGGAAAAACAGCAGTCAGTACTCACAATCCCACTAGCCCTCACTGGGGCTACTAAGGACTTGAGCTACCAATTCTGGTATGAGGAGAATGTATTCAGTTTCTTTACTAAAATTCATTACGGTGATGTAATCAACTGAAGTGGAAATGGTGGGAGATGTTGACTTCTGATTGACTTTTGGACAAGTTTAATAATACGATCTAAACCTATATACACTTTATTGTAAGTTTGAATTTGCTTCACATAGTAAGAATATATTTCTTCGCTTATTTTTTCTTTTTCAGTTGATATGGAAAACACAATAACCCGCACTCTCCAGTCCTAATAAGGACAATGAATGACTTTCTTTGATGACGATGTTGGTAGTTTAGAATGCGGTGCATCTTATATTGGATAAAAAGATTTAATTATTGATGAATAAAATTAATTTTTGTATTAATTTTATTCATATTTTAAATAATTATGTTTGAACAAAAATAATTATCATATGACAAATGGTCATAACTATTTGAATATAAATAGATTATTATTCATAAAAGTCATGATTATATAGAAAGTCATAACCATTTGAATAAAAGTTTATGTCTGTTCATTCATTATAAATAAATTTTTCATTATAATTATTTTCACTATTTTTGATGGGAGAGTTTGAAGTTTTGTTGTATCCTAAAGATATAATTACCTTTAAAAAAGTGTTATTCATGCCTTAAAGTCAAAATTCTTTTTTATTATTTCTCTTCTCTTATTTATTTTTTTCTAACAATTTAAAGGCAATTATAAAAAATTTATATTTCGCATGAAGAAGATACAAGGAAAAAAAATTGGCATGATTTGGAGATCAATATTAGATATGGTTCAAAGTGTCAAAAGATTAATGTTTCTATGGACCAAAATATTAATTTTCATAAAGATCTTCATTAGAGATATGTATTTTATTTTTTGCATAATTTTTGGTAAAAAGATTGACTGAATGAGATAACACGTTAACAATTTATTTCATTAGCGTATAAAGTCAAAATATAATATGCAAAATATTGATTACATTGCATAAGTTTATGCATATACTGAAATTGACTCCACAATTGAGTTTAATAAATTGTATTACATTTATTTGAAAAATCAATGCTTATAAAAACTAAGATGTGAAATAGCCTAAAAACATAAAAGAAAAGACATGAATTGAATTACGATCAAAAAAATTATCACTTGTTATCAAGTAACGAATTAAATTAGATTCTAATGAAATGATCGATTGTTTAATTGTCATGTTTTGGTTATATATAAAACATGCAATTTGTCCCATAGTTTCCATGAAAACAATAAAAAATGAGTAAAGAAATTTACCATGAGAAATTAGATGCAAGTAAAGAATATATGCAGAAAAATAAGATTTAGCTACAATATTAGTTTTATTATTAAACCATGGCACCAAAATTGAGATAATAAGTTAAATCAAGCTATTTGTATGATTATGTCTTTGTTGATCATTTATAAATCAAATGTTGATATATATATTTCAAAATTTATTATTGGTTCAAATTTTGACTAGTGTTTAATTTTCATGAAAACTAATTAAAATTAAATTGATGTATCTGAATAATTATTATTAAGATATGGTGTTTTATGGATTAACTGATGGATAATAAGCCAAAAAATTGTTATTATAAAAAACATCGATAATGTGACATGTATTTTGCCTGCTGTGTGTATTGTATTAGAAGTAATTTTACAAAATAAAATGTTATTATGAACAATCACAAAGAAAAAGTTTAAGGTACAATTCAATTTGTGTTTGATGGCCAATACCAGTAAGACAAATAAATTCAAGAATTTGGAATATAAATGTTTCTGTTGTATTACTATGATTAATGAACTGGCTTACAAAAGGTAGGAGATTAAAGATATACTTGTTTAAAAAGAAAATATCAAACTGTTATAACTATAAGGTTTATAAAGGTTTGGGTTTTGAAATATTATTCCTGTTAATGATAGTATTTATAAATTGTTTGAATTTATAATATAATAAGTTAATGCAAGTTTATTATATACAATAAATATATAATTTCATGAAGAATTATAGCTGGTGGTAATGTAAAATACATTAAGTATATATATCTATGACATCCTTATATTTTGTAAATTTATGTTAATATCACTGACTAAAATTTAGCCAACAATTTGGGCTATTAGATGATTGATTAAAAGAAAAGGCATGTTATTAAAAAAATTGAAGCATTTATCGATTACTAACATTTTGAAGTATGCTAATCAATGTCTAAATTAGTCATATTTATAAATTAAAAAAAAATACAAATTCAATGTTCCAAAAGCACCAATACATGCATGTGTTTAATTCTATTTTGTGATGGTATAGAGAACATTGGTACAATTTACCATATATTATGAAAATGAAATTTTATGGGATGGAATTTTCTTTCCTATATGTTAAGAAAGATATGGACTATGGAGATAGAATGCCATCATCAAATTAATATATTATTTGTTAAAGATAATAAAGATATTTTTGCTTCTTGTACCCGAAAAAATGACTCTTTGCAAGCTGTTAAAATGAAAAGTGAACAAGTTTTCAAAGTTTTCAATAGTTTCCTGACAATGGCAAGGATGTGACTGGTTATACACCAAATTAACATATGGGCATAGATAATAATATTGGTTTGTGAAAGCCCTAAGTCTTAGAGTTAGCCAGTTCATGATTTAACCAATGAAAATTCATCATGAGTTTTTGCATGAAATATGAATATAACTCATATTATAATTATTATTTATACTATTTTATGAAAATGATTATTTGGATTCATGTTTCATGACTTGCATTGATATAGTGATCTAGATATGAATATATTGATCACAAAATGATTATGAAAATATTTGAAATTGGAGTTAAATATACTATGGACTTTTATTGTATATACGCATATTAGTTCTATGAGTAAAGTTTGAATTTATTATATATCCAAAAATGTTATAACCAATGAAAAGTGGTAAAAAAAATAGTGAAAAAATAAAGTTCTTATAAAATTTTGAAATGAAGCTTAGAGATTTCTATAATCATGAACTTAGAATTAGCCATTGGGCAATTTTTATATGCATTGAAAACTCATGATAATATTTGAGATAATTGGTTTTCACTAAAAGCTATTACTATAAATGAGATAACTTAAATAGTCAAATCTACATGATTTATAGGATATGATGTGGATTATTATGGTTGGCTTAGAATAACCATAAGCCAAAATTGATGCCACAATCTTGATCACATTGTAGTAATTTTTTGTTATGTATATGATCTAATTCATGGATTGTACAAATGATTTATCATCTATGATTTTATATAGTAAAAATTTCAAAGTATATTTACTTTGAAAACCATGAGTGATTCAAAGATATTTTGAATTTGAAAACTTTATAATAGCAAAAAAAATGTTATTTAATCCATTTGAGTGATGGAAATGATTTTGTTCATAGTAATAAAAAAATATTAATAGTGTCCATGATGAAATAGATTCATTTAAATATTTATGAATTGACATAAAAGTCTCAAAAAGAGACCATAGAAGCATGATTATATTTGAAATTAGCTTGTTGATGTAAACTCTTATATTGGTTAAAATATAAAAAATTTTGAAACTTTTATTGAAATATTAAGATATCAGCTGGTTATCTTTTCCTAATGATGGATTTGGAGGCCCCTTGCTTAAAAAAAATCACCAAATAGTAAAAAAAAAAATGAAATTGAAACTTGATTAAATATAGATGATATCTTGACAATTGAATGAGATATTCTTTAATAAAAGAATTAATACTGGCACATGGTGAAAGTGATAAGAATCAAAAAAAATAAAAATTACCACCATAATGTTGTAAGATTTCAGTATAATTTTATGAGCAAATTATACAAGCTAATAAGTTTAACACTTATTAAAGTAAAATCATTAATAGTCCTTAAAAATCTTAAAAAGACTAAAATGATTTGGTTTATTCATTAAATTTATCCAATTGTACTAGAAGTATAATTGTATTAAAGATGTATAAAAGTATGAAACTAGAATGGTTAAAATTTATGAGTATAGGTTGTGGCCACAACCAAAACTAACTATTTCATAAAATGTTAAGAATGAGGCAATAATGTTTTCAGCATATAAATGATATGCAAAATGAAAAGTTCAGACATATTAACCTAAAGTGATTATATTAGAGATTCAATCTTAAGTGAGGGTAATTACCATAAAAGAAAATTGAATTCCAAGATTTTTGATTAGTAGTACTACAAGAAGAATAGATTTAAACCCTTGCTATTAGACACCAATAATGGGAACCCAATATTGAATTAGTAACCTCTAATTACAAAGTTCAATGGGTAAAAACAAATTATTGTTATGTGTTTGTTAAACATTAGTAAAATCATTTAAATTTTAGAAACTAGTTTGATCCATTGCATGAGTAAGATGAATTTTTATACTCTTAATGGAGTTTTAAATGTCTAAAACAATAGAGACATAATGAAAACTCTACCTATATAAATATAGAAGTGTTGCCACTTCAACAAGAAGAATTAAACTCTCTCTTGTAAATGTTTATAAATAGGATAAGCACATGACCATAATAGTGCTAAAAGCAGTTATAAATCTTTGACAGAAGAATAAGTAAGTATTATATGTGCTGTATCTTTATTTTAACACTAAGAGTTGAGGTTTAATCTACGGATACTATCAACTTCATTAGAATTCTAAGATATATACGCTAATTGAATGTTTAAATTAAAAGATACATTCTTATATTCATAATATTTATTTGTGTGAAAGTAAAAGTTAAGCACCAACATTCCAAATTAGTGAGGGATTGTTGGTAATTTAGAATACGGTGCATCCCATATTGGATAGAAAGATTTAATTATTGATGAATAAAATTAATTTTTATATTAATTTTATTCATATTTTAAATAATTATGTTTGAAAAAAAATTATATTATGACAAATGGTCATAACTATTTAAATATAAATAGATTATTATTCTAAAAGTTATAATTATATAGAAAGTCATAACTATCTGAATAAAAGTTTATATTTGTTCATTCATTATAAATAAATCTTTCAGTATAATCATTTTTGCTCCTTCTAATTGGAGAGTTTAAGGCTGTGTTGTATCTTAAATGCATAATTGACTTTAAGAAAGTATTCTTCACGTTTCAAAGCCAAAATTCTTTTTAATTATTCCTCTTCTTTTATTTATTTTTTCTAACAGACTACTTATACATTTCTTAACTTATTATTTTTTATTTCTTTTCAGCTTCACCTTCAGCTTCAGCTGATTTTTTTTTTTTTTTGGAGATAAACATGCAAAGACATGAAAAAACCCCCCCTATAATTGGGGAAGAAAGGATGACTATATGAATTTTACTTTTCCTGACCATAATCCTGACTGCAATAAGGGCTAAATGCTTCTGATAACCAGCTTTTCTTCCGCCAAGAGTTCCATCCCATTTCTTCACAAATTTCATCACTGTGGTTAATGCTAAAAGTGGAAATGCAGTGCCTCTTGTAGAACCTGGTTGTCCTCCTCGTTACCGCCATCTCTCTAGATATTTGTTCTAGCATATTTTCAGCACTTGGGAGCTTAAATTTTTCATCGACAAGTCGGGCAAGCCACATGCTACGCAGCTCTGATGTGTGAAGGTTCGCAACACTTTCGACGTAACCCACAAAAGCCATGTTCGGTACCAATGGGTGGATTGTGCCCCTGACAAAGGAATTAATATTATGCAACATTAGTCTCAAAAATCTTACAGAATGCTCAAACAATGTTTTTTATGTTTGGTGAAACACAATTCTGATCATGTAATGTGCTTACCTATACAAGGGCATGATTCCAGAAGGATATTCTATAAAACTACGGAAAGGCTCTGGTAAAATAGTTTTGAGTTTCTTCTTTCCATCAAAACCAGTTGCAAGAATTACAACATCAGCCTTCATTTTAGTACTGTCATCAAACTCAATTCCTTCTTTCCAGAACCACCATTTCGATGCTCTTTTGAAAACAATATTTCCCTTATCAGCCTCAGTGAAGAAATTTTCTGGCATGATGGCCATCTGACAAGATGCATAATCTTCCTCAAATGGGTGGTCAGGTTTCAATCCATACTTCTGTAATGGAAGTTTCCAAAGCAAGTAGGACTCAATGAACTTTGAAACTCCACGCCTCTGTTAAAAAAAAAAAAAAACTATATCAGCTTGGCACTATACCTTGAAAAAAAAAAAATTTGTCTTAAGTGCTTCAAGAAATGTGACTGACCATGGGAGATAAGAGGTAGCAAAGGAGGGTCCTGAGAATGGTTTGGTTAGGCCTTTCATGGAGGAATTGAGAAGATCTTGTAGAATAGAACAGGAAGAAAGGCAAACCCCAGACCCAATAATGCGGAACAGTCCAGTGAAGTGTCCTTACCACCATGGTGCACGGTTGCCCTTCCGGCCCTTTAAATCATCATTAGGAAAAATTTAACACCATGCAAATTAGTTATATAGGATCAGAGGTTTGGTTTCTATTAACGGAGGATCAAGGAATCTGAAGATGAAAAAACAAACGAATGACTTCCACAACACATTGGTATTTTACCTTGATTTTTCTAAACAAGTCATAGATTTTTACCCCAGCGAAAAAGAAAAAAAATATATAATAAAGCTTGTATAGGTGAAATATCCCTTTTTCTCCTCAAGTTCCCACCTCTCATCTCAAAGTCAAAATCACCTGACGAAACCCTAAGTTGGTTGTCATATAAACGAACATATGTGGCAGATGAAGGAGCGTACATGTCTTTCCTTCATTTATTTGTCCACTTCGTCTATCATCAAAGTCAAATCGCATATTGGAATTCTAATGTTATGATTCAGAATCGTTGAAAACGTGTTTGTCAAAAAAGTCCTAACGTACGTGGGATGCTTTTGTTGGTCATGTGTTTGACACTTGACTGCTCAACTTTTTTACACGAAACAAAATCCATGCAAATTCGACCTTCCCAACGTGGAAAATCATGCCTCCTAGGCCCCAGCTGCCCTTATATCATACTACTGGAAATTGGTCACTTCCTTTTTTTAAGCCTAAATATAGGTATAGAGAAATAATTTTGCCTCAATTTAAGAAAATCACATCATGAAAAAAATTTCATATATATATAAAAGAGTCAGTCCAATTTTTGTATATTCCCTCACATAATCAAACGATGATTATAAGTAATTTAGGAAAAAATTGTCTCTAACAAAACAATTAGTAATTTCATAGAATCACATCATAATAGCCTGATTAGTGATTCACATGAAGAAATGCACAGTGCTTAATGAATTTGAAATTATAAATTACTTTCTAATTTTATTGCATTAATAATATTTAACCATCCAATTAATGGAAAATTACCTTGATTTGCTTCTGCGCACTCTACAGCTAAATCAATGGCTGATTTTTTGTAGCCAACAACGACAACCTTCTTTCCTTTAAGTAGCTGAGAAGCAGCATCCTTGTCCAGCTTACAGTAATCAAGGGAATGAAGGAGCTTCCCCTGAAACATCTCAGGGCCTTTGTTGTGTGGGAAAATTGGAATTTTGGGTATGTCCCCATATTTTCCAATGCAAACAACGACAAATTCAAAGGCATACCACTGAAATTAAGGGCCAAGAAAAAAAAAAGAGTACACATATAAATAAGCATATGTACAGTCCAAAATATGGGTAAATATCACTTCATCTACTATTGTGTTTACCTCAAAAAATCATTTTGGTTGAATTAGCGATTAATAAACATAAGTATATGGAATTAGCTTGTAGGAGTGCTTGACTATCAAAACTCCCCCACCATAGAAGCTGAAGACCATTATGTATTATTTTGGATCGAAGAATACTGTAAGTCAAGAATCAAACTTGATTTTTTTCTCCCTTTCCCTTTTTTTTTTTCCTAGTATTCTTGCCAAAAGGGCAATTTTTATTTCTAAGAAGGATATGTCAAAGGGCAATTGCCAATTAGTTAAGAATTTAAAAATTAATCCAGTTGGTTTATGAAATAACACAACATCTAATAGATCTGAAATTAAAATTTTAGTATTTGTAATTTTTTTTATCTTAAAATTGCGACTTCCTTCATATTAAAAAAAGTGTTTTTTTTTTCAATCAATGGAAATCAGCTTAGTTAAAATGTCTTTTTTGTAACAACTCTAATTAATTAGATGATGTGAGGCAGTATGAGAAAAAAAAATTATATGTAGATTAAAAGCAACAACCTTAAGGTTTTTTGAATCGTTGGTTTGCACCGCAATCTCCCAAACAGGCCTTCCTGGCAAAAGACTTCCATACTCCCCAGCATTTCCTGCGAGCTCATGTACTGTTTCCTGGTGACCAGCAAAGTGGAGCTCCACAACCTTTGAATTGAACTTGACAAACTTCAACACATCAAAGTGCTTAGCATATGATTCCAAGTAATCCAAAATCTCAACATGAGATGGAAAAGTTGGATCATCTCGATTAGGCCATGGAAAATCCGAGAACTCGTAATCCTTACGAGGCGATTGTAGTTTAGTAGAATTATAAGCACAGCTTTTCCATACCCCTCCTATTGAATCCGAGGCCTCAAAAACAACGGGGTTATGGTGACACAGCTGTTTAGCAGCTGCGATGCCGCTAACTCCAGCTCCAATGATGGCAATCTTGGAGATGATCAAAGGAGGGTTTTCCTGGTGATCAGCCATTAATTTTTGGTTTTTGACTTTTGAGAAAAGTAATTTGAAAGTGGGATCTGAGCCTTGAAGGTGATAAAAGCTTTGAGAATTTGCATGTATTTATAGTTGCATGAGAAGAGAAAGATCATGTTAAAAGCACGTGAAGTTGACTTGAAGGGGTTTGGCACAAAGAGAGAAAGGAAAGGGAAGACCATTTCCTTTCCTATTATTATTATTATTGTTCTAAATATGAAATTGGTTCGTTAGAGAAGGGAACTTTCGCCAAGTATGTGATTTCTTTGCATCTTCGAACCCTAATACAAACTATATATATATATTTGTTTATAATTTGTTCATAATTTAATTTAATCAAACAATTAATAGTACACTTATTATAATACTAGTTGCCTTTTTCCTTTACAAAATTTCTTCCAGGAAACAACTTAAGCATATAATATATGCATATATATATATATATATATATATATCTCTTTGACAGAGAAAGATTTAATTTTTCAAAGAAATAATTAAACATGGAAATGCTTTTTCTTTTGGATGAATTACTTCCACACTTCTTAAATTTTAGGGTGAATATTATTTTGGTTCTTAAATTTTAAAAGGTTAACATATTAATCCTTATATTTTGATGATTATAATTTTATGATCTTTTCCCCAGTCAAATGGTTAGTTGAACGTCAAATGAAAAGATAAAATAATTACAAAGTAGGATAACAGATTAATAGTATTATAAATTTAAGATTAAGAGATAAAATTATAAAGGAAATAAATTTTTGATAAAATTTATTTCTTTAATTTATTTTTATGGATATTAATTCTTATGTATCTTTATTATTATTTTTGTGATGCTAATTTTTTAATTAATTAATTTTTTTTTTACTTTTTCAAGAAAAAATTTGTTAAGTTGCAATTTGATTTATGTATAAATTGAGCTGTCAACTAAATCCATAAATTAAGCTCAATTCGAATCAACTTTTGAACATAGTTTTTAAGGCCTAGGCATGATCCGATCAAATTCTTATTTTATTAATAAAATATTTTTATTTAATTTGCATTTTAAAATATATTTAAAGTATAAAAAATTAATGTTTTAATTTTAATAGTAAAATGAGCTTATTTGGGTTTTTAATGGACGAATCAAATTGGATCTTAAGTGAGACTTTAAAAATGATATTCAAGTTTAATTCGATTCATGAAAATCTTTAGTTACAATCCAAATAATTAAATTTGTGATTTTTTTATTAATAACTGATAGTGTGAAATTTATAATATTTCATTGAAAAATGTATACTAATATTTTATAACTAAAAAACCTTAGTTTTTGAAGAAATATTTTATGATAATGAAATATTGTAAAATAAATGACAAATACACTATGAAATATTTTATAATGATGTATAGTCCAATTGTATGTTTTAAACAAACAATAAATTAATTTGAAAAAAAAATACATATTTTTTATTTTCAAGATATAGACTTCGTTTTTTAATCCTATAATTGAATAAAAAAAAATATTTACTAACAAATTTAAGGGTAAAAAATAATTTTATTTTTACATAATTATAAAAATTACTAGTATTAAGTAAAAAAGCTTTGTCATCACTTTTTATATGAGTAAAAAATTACTAATTTTGTAATTTTATCTTTGATTTAATAATGAGTTAACAACTTATATTTAACAGCTGCATTAAGGTTTTATTGACGGAATGATTGTTTTGTTATGATCATAAAAATATAATGATCAATATATTACTTTTTAAAATTTAGAGACCAAAATGATATTCAACTTAAAATTTAAAGACCATAAAAATAATTTACTATTTTCTTTTATACATTTGGGAGACTTGAAAGTAACTTTGCAATTTTTATATATTTTATTTGTCTGGTTTTTCTATTGCTTTTTTATATAAATATGGAACGGGAAAAAAATGAGAAAAGAACAAAATAAAGAGAGTAGTGTTTAGTTAAAATCAAATTGATGAGAGCAAAACTATTCCAACCTATGAATAAAAAATTGGGGTTGATCAGACCTTGAAAGGATTCTAAAAAATTGTGCAAATCTGAATAAAAAGTCAGGGGAATGAGTAACCCATAGTTGAATTTTGAACAAATATTCCCATTTTTTTAAGAATGTGAAAAACATGTTAGTCCTATAAACAATTAGTAACTAATTATAACCTTCTTTGTAAGAGTCAAATTCAGACTTATTTCTAATTAATGTGTTTGAATATAAAGAGAGTACTTCGAATCACTTTCCAAAGGTTTAACTGATTTTCATTTAAAATGTAATGTCCAAGGATAGACAGAGTCAATCCATAATTAAATTATGTAAACTCATGCAGTAGATAAATTTTATTAGTTAAATTTTTATGTCAAATGTTTTCACCTTCTTTAATCAAATATTCCAAACCATCACTTGCTCGTGTATTTACTTTTTATATTCTATTCGGTTAATTAATTATAGAGGAATTCAGTCTTTCTCCTTTTTGCACTTTGGTCAAAAAAAAATTATCCATATTGTTTTACTATATATTTAATTTTCTTTTTGTGTATTTCTCAAAAAAAAAATTTCTTTTTGTGTAACAGTAATATATAGTTTTTTTTATACAATTTTTGCAATTTTATTAAATTGATCCCATTAAAAAAAAAAAAAAACAAAAGAGAGTGTTCAAATAAGTAAAATTTTCATCTATTTTATGATGATAACAAATAATAAATAAAAAATTCATAAAAAGTCCATATTTATATTGGTATGAGTATTATCATACATAATAGAAAGTTTAATATCATATTTGATTAAAAAATTGATATGACATACATTCAAATATAATTGTTTAATATCATTTTAATATATACATACATATATAATTTTTTTTTATATCAAATTCTGCATTTTATTAATTCAAAATTATAATCTATTATTGTAACAAAATATATTTGTTATTTTTTGCTTTCAAAAGCAAAATGTAATCAACTAAACTCAACTTATACAAACATTAAAATATATGATTTTATAAACATATCATATACTTTTATTACTAACTTATTATCAAAATTGTATACATTTATATTCTACTTTTACTTTGCAAATTTACAATGGAAAATTAATTTAGGTACAAAAATTATGTAATTTTGGATTAAAAATTGTTAAATAAAAAACTAATTAATTGGAAAATAATAATACAAAAGCAAAGAATACATTTTATGCATTCTTGATGTCTAAGAATAATTATAATAGATTTTGATATACTAAGAATGTTTGAATTTGTAGTGTGTGTGTGTATATATATATACACACACTAAGATGTTATGATCCATAAAAATTATTTACTGATAAAGGTTTTTCTTTTTTTAACTTCGTTATCAATCCATGAATTGTAATTCATAGAGTTTATAATATTATAGACTAAAAATAAATCAAATATATATGAATTCTATATAACATCCCTACAATAAACTTCAAATATAAAGGATCAACTCAAAGTAATTTTTGATTGGAAGGGGCAAAGCAGAAAAGCTAGTTATATTCGTTCCATAAGCAACTGCTTGTATTGGCTGCAGAGGAAGTCGACTTCAAGAGTTTGACCAAACACTTGAATAATTAATATAACTTGCCTTACTGTAGTTCTTTGCGGGGACACAATTCATCTTTGAATATGGAATTATATACTTATTATTATAGTAGCATACAATTAGTTTCAAAACATTACATTCACAAAAAATATATATATCATCATTATTATTATTATTATTATTATTATTATTAATTCTAGAATCTAGAGTTACACATTTCCCACTGACAACTCATCCAAGGATAACTTCAATTTCTTGGAAAATCTATATATTATCTGGCGGAAATCTTTCGCTAATTTTGTCTGAAATTGATGAGACTCAGTTTCCCAATATAGAATACTTAGACACATTCATGAACAATGTGCATGAACCTTGTGGAGTTACAATTGCAGAAAGTGGTGGAAAAGTCCTGGAAATTTAGACGAAGCTTGCTTGTGGGAATGTTAGGCACTTGGAGACCACTTTTATACATTTGACAGAGGGGTTGGAAAATTGAAGACTATACGCCTCCCGAAAATTTATCAAATTAACTTGTTTTTTTACCGAAAACATGGAAGCTTTGGCTTCTTTTTTTTTTTTTTTCTTTCTTTCTTTTGGTTCAAGTAATTCTAGGTCCTGGTAAAAGAGTCAAGGATATGTTCATTTTTCTGTTTTGTCCAAACAAGGATTTGTTGATTCAAAGTTTTAATTTTTATACGAATTTATTGCACTTATCAATTCATTTAACAGTTGGAAAAAATGTGTTCTAAATTATTTAATGTTCTAATATAAAGTATGTACATTTAATTTATAGTTTTTTATAGATATAATAATTTATTTATTCGTATCGTATTTATTTTATATGTAAAATACAAAAATTTTTATGTTACATTTACATTAATAAGTCAAACAAAAAACTTTTTTTTTTATTTTTTCAAATTCATTTATAATTTTTCTTAAATTTAAATCATATCATAATATTTTTTTTATATAATTTTTATATCATATGTATCATCATATTTTATTTAAAATTTAAAAAGTCATGTATCCATATTACTAGTTGCCAGAACTTTCTTTTCAATTTTTAATATGAGGGGGTGGGTTAAGCCTTATAAACTAAACAAAACAAGGTACTATTTGGTGTCTGAAACCAGGAGCTTTGCCGCTTCTGCCACGGCAGAACCGCTTGAAAGTTAAGATTTAACAGTAGCTAATTAAGATTAATTCAAAGACTTCGTGACAGGCAATACCTAGTCGGCTGATTTATTTTTTTAATCTCATACAAATATATAATATGTGGAGAGTTGGAGAGAAGACCACCTAGAAATTGCCACTACAATTTCAAAGGTCAAGTTCTGTAAATTTCAACTCTTCCATTTGTGGCTATGACGGGTTAGAAACCTTGATTTGGGAATAAATAAATGATCAGTACGTACAAGACAACTAATTTACGTGGAAATCAGGTTTAACTAACGATAGAAAATAATAATATTGCTACCAAGAATTTAGGGTTCGCTCTGTTTTTTTGTTATTGTTTTTTATTTTTATTTTTTAAAAAATTGAAAATAAAAATATTTGGTAAATTATTTTTGTTTTTTATTTTTGAAAAATAAAAATTTGAAATGTTTTAAAAATTATTGAAAACAAAAAATGTAGTGTCTTCATATTTGCACAGGCAGTATCGCTACAATACTTATATCGTTCAAAATTTTTGTATTTAACCAGATTCAAACCTCTCCCATTTAGAATATAAAAGTTTTAACCATTTTTTCTTTTACATTTTTTTTCACATTCTTAAAATAAAAACATTTTATCCAAATATATTTTCAAATTTAATAAATTAAAAATAAAACAAAATAAAAAATTTAAAAACATAAAATATAAAACATACGACAATACCAACGACCCCTTCATTACACTATTTGTGATGAGGCCTAGCATGAAATGACTGATCTGCAACCTACAAATTGCATAAGTATTGGGATTCAAAGTGAACAAAAATACAATTGAAAAATAAATTTTATTATTTTTTATGAAATTATAAATAAAAAAATTATAATTATAATCAAACATTATATTTCATATAAAAAATCAATAAATTAAATCAAACAAATAAATCGATTAATGAATTAAAGTATATAATTAAACAAATTAGATCAAACTTGTGTATGATAGAATTTGAACTTGAAATTTTAAAAATTTTTTACCATTAAAATAAAATCCTATTGAAACAAATGTCATAAATAACTATAAATGAATTAAGAACATAATCAAATGGTAAATACTAGATAATAAAATTATGTAATACATTAGTGTGTGTGTGTGTGTATATATATATTTATGTAGATATATGCTAATTGTGAAGTTCATTGGAACCAGAATTCTAATTTTTTTATAAGATATTGTGTGAAATATAAATTATAAGTTTTTTTTTTTTTATATATATCTTTTTTCTTTCAGTTTAATAGTTGATCAATCTATTATTTTATAATCATAGTTTGTAGTGCCATAAGTAGTATTTTTTATAATTGTTATAATAATAAATCCTTTATATTAAAAAATTTATAAAATTATTAAACAAATCATTGATTCTTAAAAAAAAATAAATTATTGTAACAAAATTTACTAAAATAAAAGGTATAATTTTTATAAAAATTAAGTCACTTGCTTGAGGTTTATGTTTGTCGAAAAAATATTTTGAGTCTGAAACATCAACTAAAATATTTTAAATTAGACTTGAATTATAAATTAATTATATTTGATAATCTCTTTGGAAGCCGTTTGATATTTTTTCTAATATAGTTAGTTGAAAGTCACATGCAATGTTGCGACAGTATCCTAATTGGCCTAAGTGCTATGCCCTGGCGGCTTTCCAAGCCAAGTCGGTCGCTACTCCCCCTTTGCCTAGCTACGTTATACATTTCGTCAGTCTTGAGAGGCATTTTTTTCCAACAGACGAGACTTTATTGATTGGTTTTTCAGATTGCAAATTTGCTTTGAGTGACGGCTTTCGCCGTTGATATTTTGACAAATGCAACAAGACCAAACCCTCTGGCCCCACCTGGCCTGTTGCCTGGAGCCCGGAGTCTACAATTTTTTTCGTCAATTGCTTTGTGGATCGTGCCCTCTTGCACGCGGCAGCCCCATCCACATTAGGTCAAAATCCAATTGGCAATCACAGGCACCATGGTGATGTCTGAAATGACAAATCTAGAAGTTTTTTTCAACCCCCAAAATAAAGTCTCCAATTCTAGTTACTTCAATGCCATTCCTCCACCATGAATTAATGCCGTTTGGCAGTTTTGAATTCTAATATTTCTTGTCTCAACATTCGATTAGGTGGCTGTAATTATCTCATCATGACCAAAATCTTTGTAGTCTTTACATTTGAATTTTTTTGACTTTCGAGCATTATGCGGTGTAGCATTGTAGCTCCACTGCTCATTTTCAAATTTCGTTTTTTATAAAAGAGATTATAATTTGATGACAAAAGTGTATTGAAATTTGAAATTCAATTTTTTTAGATTTTACTTTTTGAAAAAGATGGTTTAAATTATTAGAATTAAATTTTGGATTCAATTTTTTTTTTTATGAAACAAACATAGAATATTGTTTATTTAAGTGATTAATGAATAAGAGAAATAATCAATTTATATTAATATAAAATTTTAATAAATAAAAGAGTTGACAGAGACAAATTAAAAAAATAATTTAATCACATCTTTGTATTTATTAAAATTAATGATTAAAAAATATAATTTTTTTTAATTTTATTAAGTTGAATATCCAAATAAAACAATATACCTGTACTTACAATGGTCCAGGCTGAGGCCCATTTATGCTAACATTGATGGTCCCTTGTCCCACTTAAGTATTCATGTCTCAGATACTTCATTCTTCCAAGTTTTCGGCCCTCCTTTGACTGCACAAGTATTTAGATAGGGCCTTGTCCATGTTTATCTTGTTTCTCCATTGCGGCCTGATGGCCAAATTCACAAACAAAGACCTAACCCTCAAGCATTTGCTTGCCCTATTTCTTAACATCATTAATATCAAAGAGTTTTATGAAGTGCCCCAATTGTGAAATTAGTAACTTTATATATTTCTCAATTAATTATTAGTTCAAATGGCATAACATATAATATAGATCCTAAAGATTGAGGATTCGAAAATTTATATTCGTAATATCTTTTTTAAATAAATAAAAATTAGAAGAGTAAAAATAAATTAAAAATATTCAAAAAAAAAGGAATCTCTATATTTATATTGGAAAAAAGTTTAAACTCGAAATTTTAATTTTAAAAAAATGTGAATTAAAGAATATGTAACTCTCAACTCTCCTCTCCCCTCCTTACACAGCCTTTTGAGCGATGGATGTCAATATCAAATTATCAAATAGTAGATTAAATTAGCCAAGGCACGTAGCCTTCTTTGCAAATGTACGATTTTCCTCCACACCACAAAAAAAGAAATGAACCAATGACTTTTAAGTTTCAACAAATCCATCCACATATACATTACCTAAGTCCATCAATTATTCCATCCCAAGTCATCATTACCATCATCTACGTATACTTTTATTTATAGTATTAATTATTTATTTTACGCCAACCACTTCTCTACCCACCATTAGTCTTTATCAAACCACTACAAAATAAACCTACCTTTTTACGTTTTTTTACTCATTAATCCATATTCCTTATGAAGTTCCGTTGATGTTAATGCACCTCACCCATACATTTACGAAAGGCAATCAGGGACAAAAGCAAGGTAAACGTGACGCTGTGGATTTTTTAATAGACTATTAATCCGTTCCCACGTGTCTTACCGGCATCACACAATCGCGTTCTATCTCTTATTTTGGAGATATTAAATATAATCTATTGGAATCAAGATTGTTAATCGGATAACGTTTTATTTTTTTAAAATATAATATATATCGATATCAATTGTTTTAATATATTGTTTTAAATTTTTTTATTTAGTATAAATATATTTATAAATTTATATAAATTTATATATTATAATATTATTAATGATTTATAAAATAAATATATAATATATTTAAAAATCAAATAAATAAGTTTAAAAATATAAAAAATATTATCATAAATTTTTTATAAAATTTTTAAACACTTAATTTTTTATAAATTTTTAAATAAGTATTTTTCATATACATATTAAGATAAAATTAAAAAATAAAAAAATTATTTGATTGTTAAATTTTATAAAAAGAGTATAATTATTTTCTTGCAAAAAATTAAAATACTAAAAAAAATTAAAATACTTATAAACTTTGATTTAAAAAATGAAGTATAAAAAAATTAAAATTAAAAATTAAAAACTCATTTTTTAAAGATTATTTTGTCAATTAATTTATTTTTATTAGGTTAAAATAATTAAATAATAAAAAATAAAAATTATAAAATATATTTTATATTCACGTATTGATCGAAACATATTATTTCACTGAAATTCATAAAAATAAAATCGAAATTAACAAAAATAATCGATATTATTTAATATCAAATTTAATATAAAAAATCATCTTTAAATATACTATATTTTTACATAACTGAAACATGCAAACCAATATAATCAATACTGAAATAAAATTAATAACTATAATTTGAATAATATAAATATTAAAATTTATGTATTTTTATTTTATTTTATATAAAAATTATTTATTATTAATATCAAAATATATTATATATTTATTATTAAAATTTTAAATCATATTATTTTTATAATTTGTTCTTATCATATTTATATTGTTTTGCCCTTTCTCATTTCAGTCTTATATATTCTGCTGCAATGGCAATGGTCAGCACATAGAGAAGAGAAAGGATAGCGGAACAAATAACAACCACTCCTGAAACCACACCTGCCAGATAAGAAATCAACAAAATGTTGAAACAGTATAAAAGAATTCGGTATAAGTAATTGGATCTACCTTGGCAATTAGCATCTTAGGTCTCGATTCTCAGCATCTCGACCAAGATCCCACCCTCAACTGGCCCATATCCAACGGCTGACATTTCTCTATACCATTCTCTCTCCCAAACGTTACCCTTTTATAGGCCTGAGATTGTTTTCTTACAAACCCCAGAAATCGAACCAAAACTAGAAAATCTTCAGACAGCTGAGTTTGTCTTTTAGAGGAGACACCCCCCCTCCCCAAAAAAAATAAAAAATGAACCAGTTATTAGATTCTCCGCTCGAAGCCTTGGCATTTAACTATATAAGTTTTGGGATTTTCACTGTTGTTAATAATCTGTGGACTTGGGTCGCCGTTGTCACGGGCACGGCTGCGATTAGTTTTTGGAGGATTAGAGCCACTTGTGCGGCCACCTCATCATGCTCCGTTAAAAAGCCTGACCAAAAGCCGTCAACTTGCATTACTGATCGTACCGAAGATGATTCTCGACCAATTCCCGAAGATGAAGAAAAGCTGGCCTCTTCAGCTTTGGTTTCAGCTCCAGCTTCCTTGGCGGGAACGAGTGTTTCGCCGTTAGTTTGCAATGGCAGAGTGACCAAAGGAGGGAAGTTCAAGTTGACTGTTTATTACGAGGACGATGGAGAGAGTGACGAAGACGGTGAAACGACGGCAACAGAATGGAGTGACGGTGACGACGATTGTAAGGAAGGGAGTTGCGGGGAGTGGTGGGAGAGTTGGGAGAGAGTGTTGAGTGTGAGAAAGGGGGAAACAGGATGGTATCGTTATCAGGATTTGACGGTGATAAACGGCAACGTCGTTAGGCTATGGAATGAATCGTGTAGGAGAGGAAGGTACAGCTCAAGCGGTGCTGTGTGGTAGTTGGTGTTTTTCAGGAATTTAATGTAGTTGGTATAATGCTTTTTTTTTTCTTTTAATTGTCATAATGACTTTTGATTTAAGGTTGTGGAAACATGTAAATATATTTGTTGGACGGAACAACCATTGAAAATCCAAAGCAAAGCAAATGCTTTTAAGGTTACATTCATTGTGTATTTATTTTAGTTAGTGATAGGTATCTTATCTTTGGTTGATTTGTGAATGTAGAAATAGTAAGCAGTTTCATCTTCTTTATGACTTTTTTTTTAAATGGAAAGGTTTTTTTAAATTTTTAGTCAACAAAATAAGTAAAAGATTTATCCGAATTTTGTTAGGTGAAATTTATGAATTTTTTTATTAAAATTGGTTAAATAAAAATTAAAATCAATAAATTAAAAAATTTTGTTATGTAGATCAAATATATAAATTTTTAAAAAATTAATAAATTTTATATTTTTTTAGATAAGTTTTTTTTGTAAAAATTTTGATAAAATTTTTATAATTAAATAAGTGCCGATCAAATTTAATTATAAATAATATTTTTTATATTTTTTATATATTATTGATTTTTTAATTATTTTTTATCAATGTATCGATTTAAATTTTTATTAAAATTTTGTTAAATTATTTATAATAAAATACTCTATAAATTTTATCTAAAAATTTTCATATAAATTCTTCTCTCCCGGTGAATTAGTATGCTTTTTCATTACGACAAAAAAAAAACATATAAATATTAAACTTTGAATCTTCCAAACTATTAAATGTCAATTTTAAGAAACTGATTTAGGCTTGTTATCTTGTTTCTATAATTTACTGTATCTTGTAAGTTTAGACTTTAGGGCTGAGAAATTAATATAAGAGAGGTCAGCCTCGAAGGCGAAAGCGAGGGCCAGACAAATAACTCAGTAGGCAGAAGCCCTTTCATTCGGGAAACACACGAAAAACAAGTATGTGGGCCCATCTTATTATAGTTGGCAGCTTGGTTTGGTTCATTGATTGGCTTTTCTTAAGCGCTAGAATGTCGATGACCCACTGCCTGTGTATATTTCTCACCTGATTAATTACTATTGCTAATATATTAATATTGCTCTGCTTAGGTCTTTTGTGTTTGTCAGGGAAACAGATTGCTGCCTTTGCGACAACCCAAGGGTCTTTGACCCTTTTATATTTGTTAAAGGAGTAAACAAAGAGCGAAGAAGGCTGATTCAAGACGAAAATAATTGAATTAAATTTACAAATTTATACTGTTTTTACACTATAATTGCTCCAAATTTGAAGTATTTCAATCCTCCATCAACCGAGTAAGATAATAATTTTGGACCATCATTGGTATGTGATTATTTTTCAATAAAATACTGTAATTTCAAAAATATGTATTCATGGGGCTAGTTGTGGTTTCACAAGAGCACTATAATAATCATTCAGTCTTTACTTGGTTACAATCAGAAAAATTTGTGCAGCTATAGAATTGGGGATGGCTATTTCCCTTTTTATGACAATGACTCTTCCCCTTGCTTTTTAAATCTTGCCTTCTCTAATTAACATTTTTCAGCGTCCCAATATAAAATAGAACACCAACTATTATAATCAGAGCAAGCAAAAAAAGATGCTGCTGCTTTTTTCGCTCAAGTCTTCCATTTTGATTGTGAGGTTCATGCTGCTGCTTTTAGGAAAGCAAAGATTAGTATATTTGTTCGTCACTGCCACACTATATGCTTATCTGTTATTTCACATCCCAAGTGTATGCCACCAGATCAAATGCGAGATCACAACATGTGCTTTTAACTTACATGAAGAAACAAATTAGGAATGGATTCCAGTTAAGAGGTCGTACATTTGTTTGGCCTTATCGTGAAAGTACGTACCCCACCACAAACTCTGAAAATCTGCAGCCATGAGCCCGATGCCTCCATAGTGGCATATTCTGTACCAGCATATCTCCACCCCACACTGCGGACCTTTCAAGTAAAACGAGCAGCTCTGGCTCTAACTAACCTTCCCATCACATGATCCTAACTTTTGAAAAACTACAATTATTATATAAATAATTATTGAACACAATTCTGGATTCTCAAGCATCTCATAGCTTTATGACTGGTAGATCGGTGACATTTTTCTGTTGCTAAGTTTCACGACAGGGATTAGCATTGAAGTAAAATTTGGTTTAACAATGAAAATTTCAGCCTGTTATGGAACCAACCTGCGTCAATAACAAAGACGAAGAACATATCCTGTTTCCTGTTGTTCCCTGAAGAGGAAAAAACGTAGAAATTAACATCCCTTGAGGTAAAAACTGGATTGTGAAGTGATGTTAATAAACAGAGATTTTTCTCAGAAGCAAGAAAATCTTGCTAGCCTAGACTCGACATGACAGCTAAAAACAGCATCTGTCTTGTTGAGAGTGGGAGATGATGCAGCGTACTGTTTTTACGAGAAGGAAAAAGTGGAAATCTTGGGTCCGAATTCCAAAAAGCAGCATACCACACCAAAAAAATTTTATATAAAATTAATAAACATAAATGAGAATTTCCAGGATAAAGGATTCCTTACCACAATGTCGAATGCCGGGTTTCCTTTGGCAGGATAGAGAAGCTCGATGGAATGAGCGGCTTAAGGTCCCAACTAGCAAATGTGACCTTTCAGATGGAAGCTGGACCGCCGGACCACCCAAATAAAAGGTAAATGGCCCAATTTATGCTGTGATCCAAATCCCACCATTATCAATTACCATTCTCTGGTTCACTGGTTGCAACTCAGCTTCACATGGACAAAACCATTTCCAATACTCCATCCAAAATTGCACGGTAACTTGTCCCAGTTTCAATATGAACCAGAGATTCCCCAACTCATGTTTTGGCTGGAAGAGGATAGTGTGATTAATGCTGTGAAAAAAAAAATACAAACTATTTTCTTACTTTGTTATTCAAACTTTCATTTCGGGCTACATATCCTCTGTGTTTTTTTTCCCTTTCTTTGGTGAAGAAGTTTACTAATTGGTAATCCTTATATGATGGACATTTGGTTGAAGACATTTAGTCAGGTTGGGCTAATTGGTTAACGCTTAATGCTAGAATTAGAAAAATATGGTAATTGCAAACTGTTTCCTTTGAGGGGCCAGCTGATTTTTCTCTGGAGATTGAAAAGAGATAAAGCTGGATGAAGAAAGTCTTTGAATTAGGTGACCCTAAATCCGATAATTTGTTTCTTAGTGGTAGGTCATGTGGCAAACCTTGCTACATTGTATTGTATCTTGCACATGACCTGCTTCAGAGCCGAAACAGAGCATCAAAAACTCCATATGGTTGGGACCGAGGGACTTATCAAGTTACATTCATTTTTTTTTTGTCAGGACCCATTGTTGCATTAGTTCCATTCATGGACTTTTGGATATCAAAATGCTACTCATATTTCGAACCCTCCATCTAATTTTCGTACTAAGATTGTGATGTTTCAGGTTTTATTTTTGATCCACTAGGAATGATGCTTTCTCATCTTTGTATCCTCAATTCTACATCAAATTAAGATTCAATTACATATTCTTGGGACAAGAAGTTTAAGAAAAGAAAATATTCTTAATTCATAATTGTTGACGGCGTTTTTAGATGTTGGTTGGAAGGAAGCGGTTAGGTGGCCATGTGAGTAAGAGTTTGAATTTACAGTAAAAAAGTTAAAGGGTGTCATAATTGGTTTTTTGGATATATTTTGCCGTTCAAATTAGTAAAGTATTTAAAATTTTAGTGAAGAAAAACGTGTATTATAAATATTGAGAAAGTTTCAAGGGAAAAAAAAACTTAGTTGGTATCGTATTTTGATTTTCATTTTATTTTATATAAGAGAGTAAAAATGATAACATTATTAAAACAATTGACAATTGATAAATTTATGTACATCTCAAAAAAGAGTTATGTAATTAATTATAAGCTATATTTAATAATATTAAATAAGTGTAGATTGTATTTAATTATTTTAAATAAATTAAAAATTAATCGATCATGTTATAAAATGATAATTTGATGAGACATTAATAAAGATAATTGGATGAATCACTTTTTAATGAAGAGCGAGCTGATTTTATAACTAATAATTTAGATATTAATCTTCATGTATAATGATATGATAATAGATCATATACTGATTTGATAGTTTTAAAAGTTAATCTCGTTAACTGAATAAATAAATATAATAATAATTTTTAAAGAAAAATAATAACAATAAAATTAATTTTGAGTTATTGTTCTTAATCGTCAGACTTCCTAATGTTAATATAACAAGTATGACCTAAAAAAGACTTGAGAATTTAGCCCACAATCGAACTGCCATTACATTGGAAATCCACTTGATTATCATTGGGTGGGAGTAGAAGTGAAACTCTAGTCTTCATTGGACTGACATATGGTTTCTAATTAATTAATATTTGCGGACGCCTTGTTTCTTGTCACAACGGTGCATTAACTCCCAATAATATTCATCTCCGAATTGCCAACTCTACCCTTAGTGCTATGCACATATAAATCATTATATACTAGTAATGTAGAATCAAACTCGAGGGTGATTTAGTCATTAAACCAACAATAATTGCCTGCCATTAATCTAACGTTCACTCTCCCCGTATAAAATCCAGCTCTCCAGGCAAGCAAAGCACCAAACTCACTTAACAGCACTCAATAATGATGACGATCCCGTTCTTTACCCTAACTATCGTCCTTTTCCTATCCTCAGCCGCCGCGTCGAAGCATGGTGCATCCCAAGATCTGGTCCGTTCCTCATGCGTCCACGCAAGCTACCCAAGCCTCTGCCTACGAACCCTTTCTTCCTACTCTGGCCCTGCCAACACCCCACGTGACTTGGCCCAAGCTGCCGTCAAAGTCAGCCTCTCACGCGCCCGGAAAGCGTCAAACTATTTGACAACCAGTGTGACGGGGAAGAGCAAGAGGGAACGAGTAGCACTGAGTGACTGCGTGGAGCAGATAGCAGAGTCGGTGGAAGAGTTGAGCAAGACCCTAAGGGAGTTGAAGCACTTGAGAGGGGAAACATTCGAGTTGCAGATGAGTAATGCGCAGACTTGGGTTAGTGCGGCTCTGACGAATGAGGACACGTGTCTTGATGGGTTTGAAGGAGTTGATGAGAAGGTGAAATCTGATCTGAAGAGGAAGATCAGAAATGTGGCTAAAGTTACCAGTAATGCTTTGTATATGATCAATAGACTTGAATGATGGACAGTTGTGATTTAGCTAGATTATCATGTTTATGGTGTTTTCTTCAGTTGCTCTTGTTTTTTTGCAGAAGGTATACGTAATATTTTACTACTTATATATTTTACTTTTATGTCAGAATTGAATGCAAGTATTTTTAACTTTAAAAATAAATAAATTTGAATATTTCTTCCTTCTATTAGAAAAAAATATAACATTTTATTTCTATTTAAACTATGGATCTTTTTGTCTTGTATTTTGGACCAATAAAACATTATTATTTCCATAAAAAACAAACAAAAATAAATTAATTCAAAGTGGTGCGGCTGTATCATGTCACATGACTACATGAACAATTGTTATGATGAAAGTGAAAACTTTTAATTTTTATCTTTGGTACATAAAAATTTAAGACAAAGGGAGATTTTCTCAGTTTAGAGTTAAAATAAACTGAAAATTTCAAAGAAAATTTTCATTGGATTTATATATCACCCAGCAAAAAAAATTACCATTACCAAGATTTGAACCTAAGCTTAATTACAGACGAAATATTCAATATTTATTAACTCAACTAATCCTATTCACAGTAAAAACTTCTAATTGAAGTGGCTTGGTGGCATGCATTATGTATCAAATCAAAAAATAAATTTAAATGCATTTTAACATTTGATTTGATAATTAACAAATAGTCGTAATTTTTTTAAAATAAAAATAGTTGAATTGAGATTGATATCTTATTTTATTAAACCAAAATCTGCTCACAGTATCTTCATTCACGAGCTTGGTGAACAAAAATAGGTTTTGTAGTTGTAGGCATATATAGAGTGGCCCCTTAGGGAAAGATGGGGAGGAAATAAATTCAATTTCAGACCAAAGTCGTAAATTGAAAAGGTGTATAAGATGCAGGTCGCACCCTCGATGTAATGGAATTTAAAGAAAGTTTGTGCCATCAATTGTTTTGAGCGATGCATTTAGATAACTTCATCGTCAGTCTATCATCGTTATTTTTAGTAGAATTGCTGAAAAATATTACTTTTGACAATAATCTTAACAAATGTCTTACTAAACAAAACTCGAGTTAATTGAAAATTCGTGTTTGTATGGGCTGTGAAAACTTAGTTCAAAATCCAATTTCCATTTTTTGGGCCGCATAGCTTAGCCCCTTAAATAACGAACTAATGCCCATTGATCCAAAACACAAAACCCAGAAACGTTTCCCCCACTACATAAACCATAACCCCGCTTTCCCCTTAGTCGACAGAAACGAGCATGCTAGCAAGAGGGCTGGTGGGGATGTGAAGAGGAAGGATAAGCTCGAACCATATGCATACTGGCCTCTTGATCGCAAGATGATGAGCTATAGGCCAGAACATAGGGCAGCTGCAAGGAAGGGCATGGCAAGTGTGGTGAAATTGACAAAAATGCTTGAAGGTAAGAGTGCCTCAAATGCACTGGCCGCTAAATTCATGAAGTTTAGGGACGACTCAAAAGAAAGGTGGCAAGAGGAAAAGGTTTAAATAACATCCAAAACACAGCACCAGATAGGTCTATTCGCACCTGTCTGGAAAATTCTTTCAATCGTTTGTGTTCAAACTACATACCAAAATTTTGGAAGTGATTTTGTTGCATTTGGAGAAACATTATTACATTATTGTGTATATATAATTACAATAGCAGCAGGTTGGAATGCTGGTCTTGAAAATGTATCCTTTTTTTCTTACTGATGATTAAACATTTTTGAGCAAAACATTACTTATGGTTGTTGGAATAGAGAAAGAGTATCGAGAGAAAGAGAGAAAAAATTTCCCCAAATATTCACATCTCTATTTTTGTTCTTTTATCTTTTCAATTTGAAAAATATTGACATTTTGTTACTGCTAATAAAATATTTTTTCTATTTTCGATCTTACTCATTATGGAATTAAGGGTGTAAATAAACAAAGTTTTTGATAAATTATTCATGAAAATATTCAATTTTTGTTTATTTATATTCATTTATTAAATTTAACAAATGATCTTAACAAATATTTTTATATACATTTATTAAACAAATTTGATATAAATAGAGTTTTATTTAGTTCGTTTATGTTTATGAACAAATTTGTTTAAAATTTATTCATTTATCGATTGTTTGTTGTTTATTTATAATAATAATAATAATTATTATTATTTATTATTATTATTATTTTAATTTTATTTTAAGATTTATTTTTATTTGTTTAAAATTTATTTATTTAAATTTATTTAATTATAGTTTGTTTGTTATTAATGAATATATTTACATATGTTCATGAATATATTCATTAAATATTTATAAATGAATTCGTTTAATTTAATTGAATTAATATGAATCAAACATGAATATTTTATCATTTAAATAAATTAAATTCGAATAAATTGAATTTGAATACTTTTAAAAATAAATAAATAAATTACAAGTATATATTTATTCATTTATCAGCAACCTTATACGGATTGAAAGATGGTTGAAAAAAGGGAAGAAACTTTATCTTTTCGTTCTTGTTACCTTTTTAACACTGCACAGAACAAGACAGGATCATGTTTTGGGTCTGTGTTTTATTCCCTCGCATGTTTTAGCAAACACCAAGAACCGAACAGGTTTTGATTCTTTTGCCGCCAGCATTCACCAATTATTTGAACAAATCAAAGGTTCGTATCAGGTGAGTAGGCAGGATTGATCACGTATCTGACTGTTTTTCAAACATACGCAAAAGTCACATGACAAGAATCTGTCTGGTTTGTTCAGCAAGCCTACTATTTGTTTTTAATTTACAAATACGCCATAGGAGATAAAAGAATGGATTGTTGGTATAAGATGATACAAATATCTACACTAAGAGATTAAAAAAGAAATTGCAAATTAAAGATTCAAATTTTAGATATTATCTTATAAAAATAATTATATAAATCAATTAAATTTAAATTTAAATTTAACCATCAAAATCTCATAGTAGTTCAAGAGCAAAGGCATATACTATAGAAGAGTTCCAAGACCCATTTAGCATACAAGTACCTACTATTATTATTATTATTTTTTGTTTGTTTCTCCACTTTCAAAACACATAAAGAGGAAGAGATATATGTCCTTCCAAAAATCTAAATTACCGGACATATTTAAGATTTGTTTTGTAAATATTTTCATTTTTTATTATCTGTCTATGATTTTTTATATATTCTTTTTTCTTTTTTTTTCCATTATTTTTCACAAAAAAAAAGAGTATAAAATAATAACATTTACCAAATAAAAAAAAACTTAATTTTATTTAATTAAAATGACAAAAAAAATTTAATCTAATAATTAAGTTTCACAATTACTCTTTTTTTTATTAGTTTGCTAACTTAAACCATTTTTCATCCTTACTCTTTTGTATCTTTCTCACCTAATATTTTTCATCCTTTTGTAGCTTTCTTACCAATCAAAGCATAAAGAGTCAATGTTCTCTTTCCTTCCTATTATCTAAAGTCTAATCATTTTATACAAAGGCTAATTGAAATTAAATATCAATGAGATACCTTGCAAGTGGAAGATACAATGAATGAATTGACAGGTTATTTCTATTTTTCTTCCAGAGACAGGTGAGTGGGCAATGCATTTTTTCTTCCAGGGGCAGGTGATTAGGGAAAAGAAAAAAGAGAAGAAAACAAGCTTGCATGAACATAAACCCATAAACCACCTACAAAGTGTAACCTGTTCAAAATTCATTACAAATTGACTATCAAAAACAACTGATCAGCCATTTTCTTGTCCATGAAGACAAAATTACGGGATCAGAACTACAGTTAATGGTGGTTCAATGACCCATGTCAACTAAACGATTAAAACCTCCATCGTAGCTATTTTTAAGGGAAACGAAATCTTCAGAAACAACAGTGAACTCTGCACATCCTCCTTGCTTCTTACATAGAGCCATACAGTCAGGTCTTTGTTAATGCTCCTGCTACCTGGCCAATACTTCCTATAATAACACTTTCATAGTGATGTTTTGTCTACAGGAGATTTCCTGGGTAGTCTGCATGATGTAGCTGACACATTAACAGTTACCAACCAAATAGCCAATGGAAATTGTCTTTAGATCAGCAGGTGTTACTGACATAATATACAATTTGTATTTATAAATGTCCATAAATGAATTTACATACCTTCAGCCGAATCTAAGATTAACACTGGAAGAGCAATGGTTTAACTATTTTACTTGTATGGGGCAAATATGATAGAGGAGTTGTGGCCGCCAAACCCAAAAGAATTAGACAGTGCTGCCTTAACATTCAATCTTTCTTTCTCTGGCCCAACAAGCACATTTGTGTCCTGAATAGATGTTTCAGCAAAATAAGATAGTGTCTTCAGCAATTTGAGGAAAAAAAAAGAAAAAGAAAAGATGGGAGTTCTCTTCAAAAAGATCAACAAGTGAAGGATTATAGAGAATATATCACATCAAGGAAAAAAAGCAATTACAAAAAGTACAACATGTCTAGGAGCAAAAACTGCAGCAATGCATAACTTTTAAAGAAAAGCAACAATGAAAAGAGAGAGGGCAACATACCACTCCTTCATCTGGGTTTTCCAGATTGATATTTGGATGAACCCAACCAGTCCGTATTGCCTACAATAAGTAGACATTACCATGTCAATGCTCAGGTTCCAAAAAAAGGAAATAGAATGGGAGAAAGAAGATAAGAAGCATTCTAACTGCAACTGCAAGTCTTTTATCAGTACTTGTACGATACAGCCACAAAACAGAAAAAGAGAGGAAGTAGGGACGGCAATCTTCTTGTATAACAGAACACCCAAAAAAATTTCAGCACCAAAAATTACATCCATGAAGTCTGGTTTCTAAATCTAACATAATAAGCATAATCAAATCTTTAAATTGCATACCTGTACTGCTGCAACAGCTTCCACAGCACCAGCAGCTCCCAGTAGGTGACCAATCATTGACTTTGTTGAATTCACCCTTAACTGCAAATAATGGAGATCTTATCAACAATCCCAATGCAGAAATTGAGAAACAGATCATGCATAAAGATCCAAGTATTAGAGAAAAATATGCATAATCACCTCAGGATTCTTGCCAAAACAATGTAGGAGAGCCTGGTACTCTTTAATGTCTCCAGCTGGTGTAGATGTAGCATGAGCATTAATGTAATTTACATCTCCTCTAGATACTCCAGACTGAGCTAAGGCCTTTTCTATGCAGAGAATGATACCAGCTCCTATTTTTAGATTTCAAAAGATGGATGTTAGTTTAATCTTTCATACAGTAGCATATGCTGCTTCTGAAGAAACATGTAAAATATCACTAATTCCATATTTGTGGGGGCATCATCACAGTTGGGAATATTCAGAGGAAGAGGCATAGGTTGTAATCTCAAGATATTTTGCTTAACCAGTACAAGCAAGAATGAAAGAATTTAAAACCCTAATAGCATCTCTATCAGACATCAAAGCATGTACTCTATAATGCCTTAAGCAAAACACCTTTTACCACTGAAATCATTGTCAGACATAAGAAAACAACCAAGTATGAGCAGACAATTAAGAGGGAAAATTAAGTTTCAATGCCCATTTTTAGCACTAAAGTAAAGACATGCCTATGTGCCTACAATAACCAATGTCAACTACTGACTGCTTATTAGATTATAAGTTGTGGCCATGTCTTTCTGGTATGGCCACCAAAAATAGCTTAAGCATCTATGTAAATATGTGTCAATCTTGCAATGAATTTAGAACAATAGATCCAGATGTTGACCTAAAGTTTCCTCCAAACTCAATAGTTCATTATACAGAATTGTTCTCATAAAATGCTCTACAATGAATTACCAGATAAAAATAAAATTGGGTTTTTTTTGCCAGAAAAATAAATTTGGGATTAAAGAAGAATTGCAGTAATATAGACATGGCTCATTACCATCAGGGTGTGGTTCAGTCATGTGATAAGCATCACAAGTGAAGCTTCCACCCAGGAATTCTGCATAGATAGTCGCACCTCTCCTCTGCAAAATCAGAAACCTAAACTTGGAAATTTTCCCTTCTAAGAAGGAAACTAATCCACATATTCAGTAACTTTACTACAAACCACTATGTGCAAACCTATGGCTTTGTAGGGTCGAAGAAAGTGTACCTTAGCATGCTCTAATTCTTCTAAAAGCAGAACCCCAGCACCTTCCCCCATGACAAATCCATCACGACTCTGGAAAAATTAGAACCACTATCCAGGTAAATAACACACATGAAGCACACTTGAGGAAAATTATGTGCATTAATTTAACTGCCTTTGATTAGAAAATACTCGATAAATATATAGAATAACTTTGTCAAAAGTACCATGTTGGATGCATATCTTACCCAAACCTCCGTTGTGACCTAGAGAGTTACAAGACATGATAACAACAGCGGTAGACCCCATTTCTAACAAAATAACCATGTTGCTTGCTCATTCAAATGAGAAGAATAGTTACCATTAGTTTCCACCAAGTTTACTTCATTAATTCATTCTCAGTTTTACTGCTTTTGTTCTAGAACTGGGAAATAAAACCAACAGCAAAAGGTAAAATAGTCTGGAAGTTCAAGAGTTATTGAAACATTACAACATCCCAAGGGCGTGAAGCTTTGGTAGGATCATTGTTTCTCTGAGAGAGTGCTCTACATGCCACAAATCCTCCCAACCCTGAGTAAAAAATGACAAAAGACAGTATGTCCTGCCATACCTAGTGGAAAGATTAAAAACTGATGTCAAATAAGAAAGTGAGAACAAGATACCAATGGGTATAATTGCTGCATCAGAGCCACCACAAAGCATCACATCCTGCAATTTTGTTTCAAACACCTCAGATATAGTGCAATCAATTATACCATGATATATTTGATGCTTTTTTTGGTCAACTTACAGCTTCGCCTCTAATGATGTGGTTTGCTGCATTTAATATACAAAAGTTGCTTGTAGCACATGCAGTGGAGATTGAATAGTTAGGACCCATCCATCCCTGAAGAAATCATCAGTTTAAAACTCAAAGTCCAAATTTCAGCATCCATTAAGGTGTATCTTAATATTGCAGAATCTAAATTTAAGCTAACCAAATCCATTGCAAGCATTGCAGAACCCATATTCGTAGTGGCAAATGGTACACAAAAAGGATTCATCTTCCTGTATGAGATCCTCAAAGCTTCAATCGCATCATTGAAAACCTGTTGATTCCATAACAAACCACCTAAATGAATCAATGGATAGACAAAAGAAAAATACATCACAAAAGCAGTCCGTTTCTTAATCCAGTTTTAAGGTTATGTGGTCCTCATGCCTGGTCCTATATACCACACTGTTTCCATTTTCTAGCAAAAGATTTTACATTATTGAGGCCAGCTGCTTTAAATGCTAAGGTAGTATTACAAAACTGTAACACTCATTTTAAAGTATGCAGGAAATTATAGGTCAGCATGTTCTGTTGTACTAAAGCCTTGAAGCCCAGCTGCCAGTGTTCATGTTCTATTTGCATCAAGTTTAATATTGATAAATAGATGTGTCTCAGCCTTTTCTTCTTTTCAAGCATCCCTCATCTTTATAAAATAAGAGCATATAAACTATAGATAGCAGATTTTTACCTTCATGCCACCCATTGCTGAACCAACCAAAACTCCACATTTCGCTTTATCTAACTCCTCCATTACATCTCCAGTTACTCCACCATCTTGCAAGGCTTTCTTTCCAGCAGTAAGTGAATAAAGCATGAATTTATCCATCCTCTTGGAAAGTTTTGGTGCAACCCATCCATCAGTTGAGAAAGATTTTATCTCTCCAGCAATTCTCTGGAGAAAAAATAGAAGCAGTAAGAACAAGCACTAGTGCAAACAAAGAGCAGATGAGGGATCCCAAACACAACTTACAGTTGGAAACTGGGCACAGTCAAAAGTCTCGATTTCACTTATACCACTGGCACCCTCAAGCAAATTGTTATAGAAGACATCAGGGTCATGTCCAAGTGGAGTTACCACTCCCATCCCTGTCACAACAACTCGTCTTTGCTTTGTAGGAGGTTTCTTCTTTGTTGCAATTTCTCTTGTGGGTTGCACAGCTATAGCCATGACTTCTCCTAATTTTTTTAATAAATTACTAAGCAGATTGAATGCAATTTAACTGGTAAGTTTTATGAAATTCTGTGCAAGAAAAATTTATTTTCTCTATCACCATCATTTAGCAGATAATATACGTGCATAAACAAACAATCACATACACATAGAAAAGCCCAGAAATTTAGTATGCCCAAGCAAATATTTTCCTATTTTAAATCGCAGGAGGCAGCAAACCCATGAAAAGACTATTATAGATGCTCATCAAAATAAGACAATAAATAATACCAGCCTACACCAACTTGTTAGAGATAAAAGAAAGACTGCAGGCATGGGGAAGAGAATCTGTGATATTATATTTTAATATTATAAAATTATAGTCTGCAGAGGCAGAACCAAAATTTGCATATGCATCATCTGTTTTTATAAAATTTAGATTATCTGAGAAAATTTATTTTCCATCATCATAGAGCTAATAGCAACTTAAATTCAACAACATTTCTAACTCTTAGCTAATTAGAATGTTTTAATTGAATCATTTTAAGTTTTTTTTTTTTTTACAACAAAAAAATCCTTGGTGTATCTCACTTTATTATAATTAAGGTCCCAAATTACAAAAGAAAACTTACTATATCCCTATGTTCAAATTGTTTATTCCATTTTCATTTCCAAACTTGCAGGGGAAAAAAAACACTTCTCTAAAAAGGGTCAAATTCCAAACAAAAAATAAATAAAATTTATGCGTAAAGAAGACTAAACTTTTGTCAGATATTAAACAAACAAAAACCACAGAGAAGAAGAGAACCCAGATTTGAAAAGGAAGCAAAAACCAACATTCTAAAATTACCCGAATGAACAGCTCCTCGATTGAGCCTCCGGTGCTTGCGATTATTATTGAAGGGAACATTTTTGGACCCAAAGAGAGAAGAAAGGCTCCCACTTTGACCGAAAAGGCTACGACTTTTGGAGGAATAGTAGTCATTACAGGGCTCAAAAGCCAAGCAGGAAGTCACCAAGCCTTGAATGCTGGATCCACAAAACGACGAAATCAAGCCCCAGTCTCCTTTGCCGGTTGAGCCGCCGCAGCATTGAGGAAGAAGAGCTTTCCTTCTGTTACGAGCACAACGGCCGAGTCTTTTAGAAGAAGCAGAGGCTGATGAGTGGAGCATTGCAGACGGTGACTGGTCTTTCCCGCACGTGACAGACACGCAAGCAGCCACCAGCCACGTGCATAGCGGACTAGCCAGTGATGAAGATGCCATCCCAAAATCAAATAAAACTGAAAAAATATGAAAAAGAGTATAAAGATTTGGGTGTGGATAGAGATAGATTTTTTATGTGAGGTTGATAAAAATCTAGCAGTCCACCAATCAAAAAAGCAAAAAGGAAGGAAAAAAGTGATAAAAATGAAAATAAAGAAGAAGCTGAAGAAAGGGTAAGTTGCATTCGATGTGGGAAAAGCTTTGAATCTGGACAATCTCCGTCGTTACCTTTACGAGTAAAAAGACTGCAGCGCCAAAAGTACTACTCTTTTTCTCTCTCTGATTTGTTTATTTATTTTTCTCCCGAGTGAAGTTAGAGTTTTAAATGTGAAAAAACATTAAAAAAAAAAAAAGAGAAAAAAAACAAGGATCTGTGACCAGAAATTTTAATTTTTAATTTATCAGGAGAAAATAAATTAATTTTTAATAATAAAATATTATAATAACTATTTTTATTCTTGAAATGACTCTTTCGCCCATCTGATTCACGTGTTAAATGACAATGGGTTTTTTTTTTGTAAAAAAAAAGGATAATTGTTTCTTGTTTGGCTGCCTTAGGCCCACACGTGTCACGATCTAAAACAAATCATAAATATCACGTTGAATATAAAAAGAAGGTTATTAAAATATACAAAGGTTCACATTAATTTTTATTTAATGAGATATTTTTTATGTGATAAAATTTTAAAATTAAAAAAATTAAAATTAATATTATTTTATAAAAATATAAATCTTGATAAATTAATTGATATAAGACGTCGGATGAATATATATTCAAATTTTAAAATTACATAAATTTAAAATTTAAATTTCGATACGTGACACATGTATTTAATTAAAATAATTAATTATTGTATTTAAATATCTTTTTAACCTTTTATTCTTCTTTATAATTTTATATAATTTTGATTTACTGCTCTAAAAACTTTTTGGCACAAAAATGTTTGTCAAGACACGTGGAATTATATGTTTTAAAATTTAATAATTTTATATAAAATATTATAATATGATATAAAAAATATAAAAATATTATTTAAAATTTTAATAAAAATTTATAAATATAAAAATATCATATTTAATATGTTGATATAAATTATAATATAATAATTGTTTATATTTAATATAAAATAAAAACAATAAAATAAATACTATAATTAAAAAATTATGTTTTACTTTTGACATCTTAAATTTCCTTTGATAACCTCATCAGTTGATTCTTTAATTTATAAAAAAAAAAATTAACGAAAAAGAGGAGTCAAGATAATGCAGGTTTTATAACTTTCATATTTTAAAATTTTTGTTTATTATTTTCATTTTGTTTTGAGACTAAAACCATTGAGACAGTGGAGCTATACTTGTTGTTATCATTAGATATATAGGCTTACGTAAAAAGAATAATCAAATAAAAAATTTTATTTACACTCAATTTATTATTTTATACACTCTAATTTTAAATACATTTCAAATTTAAACTTTAATTTTTCATTTTTACTAAATACATTAGTACTACTTACTTTTTATTTTTCATTCATACTCTTTTTCCCTTTTTTCGTCTTTACCTTTCGAAAATCAAGCTTTAGTTGATATTAAATTTATCGAAAATAGATATTTAAAAAGTTTTAAAATTTATTAAAAATTCATTTTTGAAAAATTTTAAAATTTTTTAGATATACATTTTCAAAAAGTTCGATTTCACTTTTAGAAATAAATTTCTTATCTTTAATCTTTGAAAATCTTAATTATGCAGTCCCATATCTCATAAATTGTTCAAAAAATTTTAAGGTTTATTAGAAATAAATTGTTCAATAATCACTTAATTAAAAATAGATACGTTTATAAACCTATTTATTTAATTATGTGTATGAATAAAATTAAATTTTATTTTTTAAAGAACGCTCAAAAAAGTGTTCTTGTATGGTCGAAAAAGTGTTTTTGATTTTTTGGCCTTAAGATAATAATACCTTTATGCTCATGCATTCTTAAAAACTAACATGTCTCTTCCATTAATACGTATGATCAAGTAAAAATAGACACATTAATGCTAGTATATTTAAGAAAAACAAAAATAGTAAGAAATAAAAAAATATGGCTTTAAGACGTGAATAACACTGTCTTAAAGGTAATTATACCGATAGGATACAACAAAGCCTTAAAACTCTCTAAATCAGAAGTAGTGAAAATGATTATACTGAAAGATTTATTTATAATGAATAAATAGATATAAACTTCTATTCAGATAGTTATGACATTCTATATAATAATGATCTTTATGAATAACAACCTATTTATATTTAAATAGTTATGACCATTTGTCATATAATAATTATTTCTGTTCAATTATAATTATTTAAAATATGAATAAAATTAATACAAAAATTAATTTTATTCATCAATAATTAAATATTTTTATCCAATGTGAGATGCACCACATTCTAAACTATCAACAATCTCTCACTAGTTTGGAATGTTGGTGCTTAATCTTTAACCTTTCACACAAATAAATATTATGAATACAAGAAGGTATCTTTCGATTTAAACCTTCAATTAACGTATATAACTTAGAATTCTAACAAAATTGATGGTGTCCGCAGATTAAACCTTGACTCCTAATGTTAAAATTGAAGATATAATATACATAATATTTATTTAATATTCTGTCAGAGGTTTTATAATCGTTTTAGCACTATTATGGTCCATGTGCTTATCCTTATTCATAAACATTTACAAGAAAGTTTTCAATTTTCTTGTTGAAGCGGCACCACTTCTATGTTTATATAGGTAGAATTTTTTATTTATGTCTCCATTTGCTATAGACATTTAATTATTAACTCCATTAAGAGTTCAATCTCATCCTCTATTTACGCAATGGCTTACACTAGTATTCCAAATATATAGAATAGGTTGACTAGTTTTTACAGACACATAACAATAATTTGTTATTACCTATTAAACTTTGCAATTAGAGGTTACTAATTCAAAGTTAGGTTCCTATTATTGGTGTCTAAAAGAATTTTAAACCCATTCTACTTGTGATGCTTCTTACCAAATTTTTAGGTAGCGCATTGGTAAAAGGATCTGCTAAGTTTTTAGCAGATTTAACATATATGATGGTAATTACCCCATTTTTTATCAATTCTCTGATGTAATCATGTCTTAGACTAATATGTCTAGATTTTTCATTATAAACTTCACAATAAGCTCTAGACATAGTAGCTTCACTATCATAGTACAAAGAAATAGTTGTCATTAGTTGTGGCCATAACTCTATATCTATTAATAAATTTCTTAGCCATTCAGCTTCCTTGCCTGTTGTAGCTAAAGCTATAAATTATGATTTCATAGTTGATTGTGAAATGCAAGTTTATTTTTTGGATGCCCAACTAATTGTACCACCTTCAAAGGTAAACATCCATCCTGAAGTGGATTTATTGTCACTTATACTAGTGATCCAACTTACATCTGAATATCCTTCCAAAATAATCGGATCTTCGAAATAAAATAAGCCAAAATCTTTAATTTTTTAAAATAACCTAGAACTCTTCATATGGCTTTCCAATGACTTATACTAAGCTTACTTGTATATCTCGATAACTTGCAAATCACAAAAGCTATATTTGGCCTAGTATAATGCATAACATACATAATACTTTCAATAGCACTAGCATATTTAAATTGTGCAATTATATTATCTTGATTTTTTGTTAATTTTATGCTTGTATCATATGGAGTATTGGTTTCTTTTATATTGAGATACTTAAACTTATTAAGCAGTTTCTTAATATAATAACTTTGATTAAGAATGAAACCCTTATTATATCTCTTAACTTTAATTTCCAAAATGGTATCAACTTCATTTAAATCTTTCATTTTGAAATTAGAAATCAAATACCTTTTGGTTTCATTCATGCCAATCATATTAGTACCAAAAATTAGCATATCATCCACATAGAGACATATTATAACTCTATATTTTTTGGTAAATGAGTAAATGTACTTATCTGCTCCATTATGTTTAAAATCATTGGCTACTATGATTGAATCAAACTTTACATGCCATTGTTTAGGAGCTTGCTTTAGCCCATAAAGTGACTTAATTAATTTACAAACTTTATTCTCATTACCTGGAAGAATAAAACCTTCTAGTTGTTCCATGTATATTTCTTCCTTTAAGTCACCATTTAAAAAGGTTGTTTTAACATCCATTTGATGCACATACAGTTTATAAATGGAAGCCAAAGCTATAAGAACTCTAATAGATGTTATTCTAGCTACTGGAGTATATGTATCAAAATAATCTATGCCTTCCTTTTGTTTAAAACCTTTTGCAACTAATCTTGCTTTAAAGGTTTGTATAAAATCCTCTGTATTATATTTCTTTCTAAACACCTATTTACATCCTATAGGTTTAGAACTGGAGGTAAATCTACTAAGACCCATGTATTATTGGACATGATTGAATCCATTTCATCATTAATAGCTTTTTTTCAAAAAGTAACATCTCTTGAAGTCATAGCTTCATTAAATATTTTAGGGTATTTATCTACATTTAATAGATTGGTGTTTTCTTAAGCACTTTGGTTCTATTCCCTTCTACTATGAATACTATAGAATATAGAAAAACAAAATTAGAAAACAAATGATTATCTTTTCTAACTCTTTTACTCATTCTAATTACAACAGAATCATTACTTTCTTTTCTTTTATTTCCATTCGTAGAAATCATTTCAATTTGTTTCTCCATATCAATTTTGGTATCACATATAAACTTATTTTCAAAAAATTCTACATGAATAGATTCAACAATAACATTAGTATTTAAATCAAGAAGTCTATATGCTTTTAAATTCTGTGCATAACCAACGAAAATACTTTTAATACCTCTAGGTCCTAATTTTGATTTATGAGGATGAGGTATTTTATAAAAGGCAATGCACCCCCACACTTTAAAATAATCCAAATTTGATTTTCTGCCATGATTCCAAAGTTCATATGGTGTCTTTAAGAATTTCTTTGAAAAATTCTATTATATATGTGGCATGATGTTAAAAGTGCTGCTCCCTAAAGATTCAGAGGTAATTTAGCATTTAACAACATACTATTTATCATATCAACCAAGGTTCTATTTTTTCTTTCAGTTAAACCATTTGGTGCATAAGGGGCTGTCATTTGATGAATAATTCTATTATCTTCACAAAAAAAAAAATCTGGAAAATATTTGCCACCCCTATCTGTTCGAAGAATTTTGATTTTTTTCTCCTTTTGATTTTCAATAACTGATTTATATTCTTTGAATTTATCAAAGGTTTCATCTTTTATTTTCATTAGATACACAAAAATA